AAGTAGTATAAAACATATAACAATATTAAAATTAGTAAATTTAGTGATGGGAATAAGTCTTGGCATGATACACTTACCATTAAAGCTCATATATTGGGAGTTTCTTAGGCGAACTTAGGGCTAACTTAAGATTCATTAGGCAGTAGCTATATTAGGAATTTTGTTCACAGTCCTTTGAGTAAGTTAGGGGAATCACAGATATCGAGAGTAAATCAGTTTTGTGTTGGATGTGTGCATGATACGAGTAATAGAATAGGTGGTTTTTATCTAGTTAGCTGATGGTGGGATGTGTTAGGGAGAGAGGTTTTTTAACCGTAGTTTTGAAAATGGTGGTGGAATCTGGAGTTCTAGGGTTTTCAGGCAGGGAGTAACAGGCTTTAAGCCATTATATGTACCGATTTTTTTTGTATAGATTTAGCCGGACACGAGGAATGTCAGAGATTTTTGTCTGGTATTGTCTATGGGTCCTGTCACAACTGTCAAAGCGTTTTAGTTTAGGGTTAATATTGGAATTTATGGTTCTGTAAATGTGCAACCTACTATAAGTGTGAATGTTCTGTACAGTAAGTAGGTTTAGGTCTTTGAAGAGTGAAAGGTGGGGGTGTTTACCATTGGATTGCGTGATAATTCTTACTGTGGCTTTTTGCTGGGTTATTGGCTTTAGATGGGTTGCTGCTGTTGATCCCCAGGCACAAACATTATAGGTGAGGTAGGGATAAATGAGTGAATAGTAGTGCGAGTAGGGCTGATTGTGACACACAGTAACGTATCTTTGAGGGGATCCCAACTGTTTTGGATACGGGTGCTGAATTTCAGGTTGCTGTCAAGGTGCAGGCCCAGCAATTTTCCTCATGTTTAGTGTTGTCAGTCATAATGTTCAGCTGTGCAACACCTGCTCTGTTCTAAAACATTAGAAGTTTATAGTCAACCTGGATGACTGCTATTTTTTGTTAACGAAGAGCTAATAATGGTGTTTAGTGAAGCAAGATTAGGGTGGGAGATGACACGACTTGTCATCAGCAAAGAGAATAGGTTTCAGGTGTCGATTCATTGGGCAGTTATGTACAACAGTCGCAACACTTGTTTGTATTAGCTTCCTGACCAGATCATGAAATTTTTTTAAATTTCGTACCTCAAACTACTAATAATGGCAGTATTGAGGCTGTCCGCCTCATTACTACTATTGTTAGTAGCTCTCTTCATGCAACTTGTAAGTACACCCCCCTTCCTTGGATCAAACCTGATTGCCTAACATTCCCCAAACTGTGTATAACCCCTATGGATATATCTAGTTATGGGACATTTTGTTTGGGTAAATGTGCACGTATGTAAAATAAATTATTTGAATGGGGGGGGGAGCGGTAAACTCTCAGGGGACAGGTCGATGAAAGTCAATCAGGTTTGATTCAGAGGAGAGTAGTGCAAGTTGACTATAAGATTTTTATTTTTCCTGTTAGGCGCCCTATAATTAGGGGATAGAAGTAGGTTTGGCTAGGTTGTATATTACAGAATTTACCCTCCAATTTGTTTAATTGCCGCAGAATCCTCCTGACAGAACAGTGGAATCAAGAGGCGATCATAATTTCCAACACAGGCTGTGTTTTATTTTCACAGTGTTGCGACACGGGGTAGTGGAGTCTTGTACAACACTATTAGCTTCCTGACAAACAAGGTCGTGAAATTTAAAAATGTATAATACCTCAACCTACTACTAATGGCAGTATTGAGGCTGTCCGCCTCATTACTACTGTTGCTAGTAGGGTTGGGGTGGGTATTTTTTTTTTTTTTTTTCCTCGAGCGTTAGTGCTCCCGAATTGTGGAGAAATGTTGTCCTCCTGCTGACAATACAGCTAGTTGAGGCTTGTCTGTTGTTTCCTTTTCTATTTCTTGTGTGTTCCTTGAAACACTTTGTGTCGTGTTCATTGCACATTGCTGTGATAAGAACGACACTATATTTTATTATATTTGTAAATGCTCTAATTTTATCGAATCTCGTAGGTTGAAGATGTCCGTGTTGGGGGCAGCTGCTGTGTGGTGAAGACGCCGTGCTGTGGGCAGATGCTGTGTGGCGAAGGACCGTGCTGTGGGCAAGCTGCATGTGTGGCGAAGACCGTGCTGTGGGCAGCTGCGTGTGTGGCGAAGACCGTGCTTGTGGGCCAGCTGCTGTGTGGCGAAAGACCGTGCCACTGTGGGCAGCTGCTGTGTTGGCGAAGACCGTGCTGTGGGCAGCTGCTGTGTGTCGAAGGACGTGCTGTGGGCGCTGCTGTGTGGCGAAGCCCGTGCTGTGGGCAGCTGCTGTGTGGCGAAGGTACCGTGCTGTGGGCCAGCGGCTGGTTGTTGGCGAAGACCTGTGCTGTGGGCAGTGCTGTGCTGGCTGAAGGGAACCGTGCTGTGGGAAGCTGCTGTGTGGCGAAGACCGTGCTGTGGGCAGCTGCTGTGTGGCGAAGACCGTGCTGTGGGCAGCTGCTGTGTGGCGAAGACCGTGCTGTGGGCAGCTGCGTGTGGCGAAGAACCGTTGCTTGTGGGCAGCTGCTGTGTGGCGAAGCCGTTGCTGTGGTGGAGTGCTGTGTGGCGAAGACCGTGTCGTGAGGCAGCTGCTGTGTGGCGAAGACCGTGCTGTGGGCAGCTGCAAGTCTTCAGAGATGTCATCACCAGCAGCAACACGCCAAAACAATGTCTGCAAAGATAAAAAGTATGGACATTACTAATTATTCATGAACTGCAGTAAGCAATAGTTTGAATTCTTACTATGTATTTAGAATGCTTCCTTCAATATTTTGTAGAAAGAAAAAATTGCTAACATATTTACAAAGCTGACCTATCAAAAATTACCATGAAATTTGAGTAATCCAAGTTTTTAAATTACCAGAGGTTGATGGACCTGGAAGACCTGGAGGTGTTGATGGTGTGGTGGATGGCAGAGGAGTGACTAGTGGCGCCAGTATTCTTGACCCTCCCATGACTAATGGCCGCCATTGACCTGGAGGAGGGGCGGGGTGATGAGTCAGTGGTTTGTTTGTGGGGAGGAGGAAGGTCTTAGGGGGAAGGGTTGGGTTGGCTACTGTTAGTTTTAGTTAGTTTAATATGTACCCATACCCATCCTGTGTGGCGGTCAGTCAAAAGATTAGGGTACATAATGGGTCCAGCGGACTGGGCCTTCAAGTTTTGATAGCTGAGCAAGTTACAGAGGTTATGCGGAGGTGTTTGGGGAGTTGAGTAGTTAGTTGTTACTGGTGGGAGGGTGATGGGGGAGAGGGGGGATGGTTGTCACTTAGTAATTACTAAGGATAGTGTGGACTAACACAGTTTGTTTACGTGTTGTTAAGTGGCTTGAAACCTTGATATTTGAAACGCCCTGGACACGTAACCAAAGGACCCATCGTTTGCCACATTCCGTAATTCTAATGAAACAAATGTCAGTGAACTCGTGTTGAAAACCGTCTCCCTGTTGGGCTTACGTATTTGACATCTTTTGTGGGTTTAGTGCTTAGGTTTGATAGCAGTGTTAAGCCACGGGCCCGTGTCTTCCTTTGCAGATGACACCCGAATTTGCATGACAAGCTCTCCATTGAGGGACACCGCAAGACTCCAGGAGACAAAACAACCAATCTTTAAATGGACTCCAGGAAAACAATACGATGTTCAATGATTGAGAAATTTTCAATACTCCGATATGGAAAATGTGAGGAAATTAAAACTATATCGGAGTATATAAAGAAATTCCAACCACAACAATAGAGCGAAAAATTGATAGTTAAAAGGACTAGGAGTGTAATGTCAGAGGATCTCGCCTTCAAAACCCATAACATTGTATTAATCGCATCTGCTGGGAAGTACAGGTGTATAACTCGAGAACATTCAAAACTAGGATGGTGCCATAGCCCATGTGACACTTTAAGGTCGTCTGATTCTATCTAGGTCTGGCGGGGAGAGATACATGTTTATATTACATCTTCGAAAATCCTAGAGGGATTAGTACCAAACTACATACGGAAAATCTCTTCCCCATGAAACCAGAAGACTCGGCAGACGAATCTGGCTTTACGTCGTCCTCCAGAAGTTTAAGAACAAAAATGGAACATTGCAGTGTGTTCGCACGTGCTCTACACGATAATTGCACGAAGAGTAGCTATTTTTCCCTGACATATTCATCATGCAAAATGGGCTTGTAACAAATTGTTTGATGAAATCTGCCCAAGGGGGATTGATCTGGAGAGATTCAAAAGTGATGCAATGAGATGAAATCTCCCAGCTTGGGCTAACATGATTATTAGGGACACGTGCAACATTTGAGTATCCTTTAATGAGGAAATGTTTCGCCACACAGTGGCTTCATCAGTCCATACACAAGGAGATTGGTGAACAGGAGAATTTGAGGTAATCATATCCCTCAAACTTGGGGTTCGATGTAACTCTTTTCAAGATTGATGGAATGTTCACATCGTCTCAAGGCTGAGGGACTGATTAACCTCAAACTACTCCTGTTCTTCACCGAGGTACTCAGTCCTCAGCTTGAGTCGCGATGTGATCAGTCCATTTCAATCTTTGAAAAGGATTACATCGACCAAGTTGAGGGATTGAATTACCTCAAATTCCCCTGTTCACCATTCTCTGGTATGGATGATGAAGCCACTGTGTGGGAAACATTTCCTCTTAAAGATATTCAAATTGTTGCAGTGTGTCTAATTTATTCAACTTGCGTAGTTCTCTGAACCATTCATCTACACTGGGCTAACATATTTCAACACCTCGTATGAACCCTATCTAAATAGATCAGTAATGTTCCACCGACGCCCAGGGAAGAGCGAGACATTTATGCTCCACCAACACCAGCTCAAAAGACCAGTTGTCATGAAAGATAAGTGTAATTTTGTAGTGAATAGCTGGTGGGTTGATGAGGTGCAAAGGTTTGAAGGCCAAATTAACCTTACGGCCGAAATCAGCGGGTTAATGGAAAGCAATGGCGACCTCGATTGCCAGGAGCTCATGGTTCACAAATGGCACTTTCCTGCCTGCCTTGGGGTGCATCTGGTCATCACTCTATGTTGATGACTTCGCTATTGCCTGTGCAGGCGCTCTGACTTCACCTCTTACAGATTCTCTCCAGCATGCATTCGACCCGCGTTTCCATTGGGCCACCAACTGGGTTTAAATTGTTCCAAGCAACTAAAACCCACAAATCACTTTCACTAGACGCTCTGTCATCTCTGATCATCCTTTGTACCTCTATGGCTCACGTATCCCGCGAACGTGATACAGTCAAGTTTTGGGCCTCCTCTTGTCGTGGTTATACTGGGAACTAAATGAACCTCTCTGAATGAACTTGTCCTCAGCGGATGAACCTTTTAAAAACCCATTGCTCATCTTTCGTGGGGAGCTGAATTCTCTCCATCGAAAACCCTCCTTCACCTACATTTCCACCTTATTTTATCGAAACTTGATTATGGTGACCAGAATCTATTCAGCGGCATCTCCTGGTACTCTCTTAGCCTTAACACATTCATCACCAAGGATTACGTTTATGCTTGGTGCTTTCGCTTCTTCCCCTGTCGAAAGTCTCTATGCAGAAGCGAACGTTCCATCTTATCCGATCGCCGTGTTGCCCATTGCTGCTCATACTATGTACGCTCTCATGATCCTCCGCAATCCTTCCATTTTTAGACAATGGTCATGATATTAGTAGACTTTCTTTATTTGTTCGCCGCCCCTGCTTATCTCCGTCCTTCTCTCTTTCGCCTTCGTTCGCTCTTGTCTTCTCTTCAAAACAACACTTTTAGTACATGTAGCAATCAACTTTTCCCTACCCCCTGGGAGTCCAGTGTTCGAGTTGTATCTTCTCCCCCCCTCCCCCTTGCTCGAAAGCCCACACTGTTACGGGTCGCCTTCCGCTCTCTTTTTCTTGACCACTTTCACTCTCATTCTCATGGCTGCATTGCTGTGTACACAGATGGCTCTAAGTTTCTGAACGCGGCGTAGGATTCGCAGCAGTGTTTCGGACAGCGTCGTACAAGGGCATTTACTATCTGCAGCTAGTATTTTTACTGCTGGAATTATATGCATCCTACTAGGCACTTATCCGTATTGCATCTATGCCTGTGTCATCATTTTGTGGTTGTCTCAGACTCCCTTTGTGCTTTTCAAGGCTATACAAAAATTTGTACACCTCACCCCTTTAGTCCTACGTATCCTCTCCATTTGGCTACGCCGCAATCTTATGACTAAGCATAAAGATATTGTTTTTTTGTTGGGTCCCTGATTCATGTTGACGTTACAGGGCAATGAACAGGCAGACACTGCTGCGCTGGACGTCAAGCAGTACATGACCTACCAGTTTCTTATAGAAGGTTTCCATGTACGGACTATTTTGCTTGTAATATCTTCCCACCTTCACACCCGTTGGCAACAACGTGGCTGGTCTACTATGCTCGGCAAAAACTTCAGTCTATTAAACCGAGGTATAGGTTACTGGCCGTCTTCTTCTCACCAGTGTCGAGGTTGGGAGACTACTTCTCCCGTCTTCGCATTGGCCTACTCGTCTTACTCATGGATATCTCATGGAGAGGCGTCTTGCTACTCTCTGTGAGAATTGCCAAAGCTCCAATATCAGTCAGCCACATTTCTGTTGGATGCCCACTTATCTAACGAGCACAGCAGAATATTTACCTCTGTCGTCGTCTCGCCTCGCTGCTCTCGCTCTTTACCTTCCCCTTCTCGCTGATGGACCCACCTTGTCATTCCGGACTCTCTCATTGTCTTTTGGTCAACGACCAGACTTTCTCAACAAAATTTGATACTTTCAGCCCTTTTCTACTGTATCTTCTTGCTACCCTATACCCCCCGGTACTATCCCTGCCCCGCGTTTTCTGGTAACCTGCTGAGCATCCCCTACCTTCTGCATCCATTCCCTTGCTTCCTTCCCTACTGTCAGCGCTGTTTAGCCCTTGTGGCTTAGCGCTTCTTTTTGATTTTATTAATAATTATAATTGGGGTGCATCTGAGATGATAATTGCACATGACATGACTGGAGGGATAATGAGAAAACCTTCAAATCTAGGTGAGCCAAGCCTTGTGATTGTACCTCTCTTCAGGTCACTTGTTCTTTCTAGGCTGGATTATTGCTGCACACTTAACAGCACTTTCAAGGCTGGTGAAATTGCTGACTAGAAAATGTAAGAGAACATTCACGGCGCGCATAACTCGGAGATAAAAACCACCTCTTTTACTGGGAGCGCTTGGGGGCGTTCCTATACCTGTACCATCTTCAAGGGGGGCTCCTTGGCGTGGGTGAAGGGCTCTTGGTCTGAGGAATTAGACCTATCGGGTTTCTTCCCTCAGACCGAACTAATTACCCCCAATCTCCCCTCCATATCCCATCCTACCCATCACTCCCCTTTTTCCTTTCCTCACTCCTCCTCCCCACTCCTCCCCTTTTGACCTTCCTCTTTTTGTCCTTTGGGATTTCTTCCCCAGGCGCTGCTAGATTCCTGGTAGGAGAAAGGA